TGCAACAATTACTGCTTTCTTATGCACTTAAAAAAAATGCCCCATATGCAATTATGAGTTTGAATTTGGATTTGGAGATTATAATCATTATGTATGATGTGAACACAGGATTTATGCTTAACATCTATCACTTGTGTGCTGCTATGAAGTGAAAAATCAATATGGTGCAGAGCCATCCTGCCAAAAGAGAGAGCAACTAAAGCCTGCAGAGCTTGGCAGGGGACATCACAGCTTCAGGCACCCCAGACAACGCACTTGTTCATCATGACGAAGAAAACTTCGGAGTTATTATCGTAGGGGCTTTTTTCAACTAACATATAGAGCAACATTCAAGATGCAGCTCTGCGTGACTGTCCTTATCAAGGAAGGAGGTATTTTGTTTCTTAGTCAGCATAAGGTTTTTTGCATGAAAACGGAAGCAATGTGCAGATACCTATGAAATGAGGATGTGTTTAATTAACTAGTGTCATCAGAGAAGTAACTTTAACTCTAACACCCTGCAATTCCATCTCCTACTGCTCTATGCTTTGTTATTTACTGTGAGGGAATAAATTAGATTTTCTACCACCAACTACTTTTTAATAATCAAAGGAAAATAATTCATGCAGCATGTAAGTTATCACAAAAGAATTCAGCGGACACAGCGAAGAGGCTTCTTTATACAAAACATTTCGTATGTCAATTTGAGAGTCAGTCTTAAGAGCAGAATTTCACGTGTTGAGATTTCCCAGCAATTTGTTACAGCTTATTTTCTATTTTTTCCCAAAGTCCGTGGTAAAACTGTACTATTGTTTTTTAGATAAGAATGTGATCTTCTTTTAAAAGCAAGTGACTATTAGTTATACTCTTAGATTTAGTGCATAGTGGATCAGAAACAACTCTGATCTTTGAGTATGTGCAACAAAGCCACAATTCTCAGATATTAACATTTACCCTAGCCTAGGCCAGCCGCGTCATTATACGGAAATGCACCTATTGAGTTACCTTGAGTAACCTGCGCAGGTACCCGCTGCACAGTGAGGCCTGGCGCCGTGGGATCATTTCCGAGCATCTTCCACCAAGAGCGCCGTGTCGGACACCCGGCACTACATGCCAGCCACAGGTAGCTGGCACCACGTTGTCATCAGCATAATTTCGTCCTCTTCCTTTTCTTTCTTTTTTTTTTTAATTAATCCAGCTCTGTGATAAAGCTCATTTCCTCCGCTTCCTCCGTCTGCACTTACTGCTATTTGCTCCCCTCCTTTGCTATTCTGTAGCCCTGGCTGTGTCCCCCTGCATCCGCGGTCCATGGGATTTGGGCTGTTCGTCTCCTGTTCCACTTTTCATTCTATCTCCATGTTAGTCGCAACACAGGGTGCACTAAAAAATAACTGCTGTGGTTCTGATAATAAATGTCATTAGCTGGCTCTGCAGAACACTGGTATTCAGCTGCTACAAAAGGAATATTGCACTCATCTGATCAGGGATTTTCAAGCCCACTATCTTTGCGCTGGAAAGAATGTAGCATCTGCTGTGCCACTAGATGGGCTTGTAACAAAGTTGTATCATTTGAATTAAATTTATCTTGAAACGGGCAGCATTAGGTGAAGTTCTGATTTGATGTCTTTATACAGTTAAACTCATATGAACTGCCAGCGTTGCATTTCCACAACTATTTCCGCATGACAGATCTCTCCTGAAGTAAACATTCAGCCTTTCACATGGACATCTGATGACCCTCTGAATTCTTTTTCGTTATCTTGGCATCATGAGATAGCTCCTGAAGCACAGGATGGGATGTATAAATCAGGAGATAAGCTAAGGCTCTGCTGGGTGGTAGTATTAAAATTCCCAAGAGTCTTCTCTTACTATTTTATACTGATTCTTTCTTGGTAACATTTTCAAGTTCTCTCTCCACATCGGTTCCATGCCCTGTATTCAAGCTAAGGATGGTTTCACTTCCACTGATACAGTGGCTGGCTACAGCTTTGGAGGCCTGGACCTCCTAAACCTCTCTTGAACCAAAATTATCCCCAGCGTAAAATCCATTTTTAACACAATGATAGAGTTAACATATCATGCGGGCACTGCTCATTTCTCCTAAACATAAAGGTTTGTCCCTGACTGTATTTTCTGCATTCACAAATCTTGGTAGATAGCTATCATAGAAGGAAACTAATCTTAAGCCCAGAGAAGATGAGGTTGCAATAGTTCTCCAGAGTTAAGCAATGCTTAGGAGGAAAGAACTCAGAGCTTTTGATAAGTTAGATAAGAAGTGAGAGAAGTGCCATTACGTGACATAACTCCAGCGCAGAAATTAGGCATCTTATTTTGCATTACAGTCTCCCCATGGCTACAGCCCTCGCCTCTCAGTTTCCTCATACGTGTGCCGACTGTCCTTGGCAATTACATTCACCTGTCACCCAAGTCGGCCTCCTCCTTCCCCAATTAGGCAGCCACTATGTACTTCTGGCCATCTACCTTGTCAAGGGTAGTGCAAGCCTTGCTTCACCCTTACCTTCAATTATCAGGGTTGGATGTGTCAACTTTCTTCCCCTCCCACCAATTTAGATAGTCTTAGGCCATTCATAACACCTGGAACACCTGCCCCGGCTGCACATTCAACTTCCAAAGCAGCGTGAAGTAAATGGGAGGAGCTGATCAGCCTGGATTGTTATTTAATAGCTGTTGTGCAGAAATGCCTACAGGCATTAATTAAGATCAAGGTGCTAAACTCTAAGAAGACTTGCAAGGAAAATAGTTCCTGCCCCAGAGAATTCATAATGCAGCTCACAGCAAGTCACAGCAGGTAGATGAGATAAATTAAGTATGGACAGAAAGAAAAATATAACAATCTGCTTCTCCAGTTATATTCTAGATAAAGTGTGGATTATCTTTATGTATACATTTCTAGATATTGATATTCTCATTTCACTCAAGACTTGATTTTTTTCTACTCTGAATCAATAGGAGGTGGCCCATATCCTTCCCGTGGAATTAGTTTAAAAATAGATGGTTATAATAAAGCTGTATTAAAGTGTGAACAGATCTTCGTAACAATCAGGCGTAACAATGTGGAAGACTATAATATGTAACAGGCTTGGTTATTTTCATTAAAAATAAGGAAATCCGTAATTTGGTAGGTAAAAATAAAGGTCACCTTGATTTATTTCACCTTGCTGAGTTTTATGAATAAATTTATTACATATAGTAACATTCCTTAACAAGGTATTTCTACCTGATTTCCACCAATGTTAAATTACTGAAGACCTTCTCTTAAATAATTAAGGCCCAATCCTACTCTCGCTATAAAGGCTTCCTTCCCTCCTACGTCGAATGCTTTGCTTCTCTTTAAGCTATGCAAAGACAACGTAAAAGCGCCAAACCCTAGCAGCCAGCCTTAGAGGCAGTTAAAGTTACCCCCTTTTCTTCCATACAAGTAAAACCACCTTCCTACACAAACAGGCCACTTCCTCCAAAAAGGATCATCTGCAAGATCAGGATGTAAATAACTAACAAAGATAAAAGCAGTGAAATACTAATCTCAGATCTAAGTAAATGAGAATTTTTCTATTTTTAGCAGGACATGGTAGGTGTCTTAACACTTTAGCAAGGTGAAACTTTGCCTACAGCACACTATGGAATTTCTGTTGCTATTTTAAACCATTTTTACTATTAAACTACTTCTATATTATAATTCATCATGATTTAGAATATAAAGTACCTTGCTTCTAAAGAAAAAAATATATAATTGACAGATTAAAGAAGATGTATATTTTCAGTAGTCACATCAATAAGTTTAAAAGTCCTCTAGATAAAAATGCAAGGTTAATATTGAAAGTGACGCTGCTCCACTTCTGCTGGCACCACAGAGGTGAATGATTTAACTGTGAGGAGAATCTATGCATTCTCTATGCTATAGATCCCTTATATTGAGCCTGCATACATCCAACATAGGCAGAAGACGCCACTCACACTGTCACTGTTGCACAAAGACCAGAGCGGTGAAAACATGAAGCAAACAGAGTGATAGAAAGAAACACAAGGAGTATCTGACACAAAATACAGCTCTGGGCCTTGTCTAGTCCTTCTTAGGCTATAAAAAATGTAATGTACTTGAATGGCTTATTAGAAGCCAGCAGTTCATTCTGACTGTGAAATTCTGTTGCTTGAATGGAGCCTACAGATTAAAACGCAGAATTATTTAGCATATCCTTCTGCTGTGAAAACCCACCCTAGTAACTAGCGTAGGTGGCTGCTGTACGTGTCCAGCCCTAGGTGCTGCTGGCACCTTCCAGTACACACATGTAAGAGGAGGCTCTGCACCCCCCGAGCTGTTCCCAGCCCTCCCTGCCCCCTGAGCTCTGCTTCAGAGGGACACGGGAAGGGCCAGGGCAGTGTCGGACACCACACTCCTTCGCTCAAGAGCGCTCGGGCCGCC